ACCTACCACAAAGCAGTGTTTAAATGCAACATTTATTGTTATGTTCACATTACAGAAATAATGAATGGTATCTGTGGACAGAAGGCTAACTCACATCTCAACACTTTTCCTGTCTGACATTCAAACTGATTTACAGTGCCAGGGGCTAAAGGTTTGAAAATATCCCAGCAGCCTACCACACAGGCAGCTAAATTAAACTCAATACCCAGACCTGTGTGATTAGAATAATGAACTATTCCCATCTACCTCAAAGACCTGTCAGTGGGGGAGTATGGTAGGAGCAGGAGGAAGCCAAATTAGGGGAGCAGAAACTTTATGTTAAAAATAAGAAGTCCCACCAACTGTTTACATTTTAGATAAACTGTTGTTTGGGATGGTGAGAACTTTGCTATTTCAGTTTGCCTTGAAGTTTAGTGGATTTTTGACCCAGAGAAACAACTTTCTTTTTTTCCATTTGAGGAAAGTGAGCAAAGTCATGTTGTTATATAGTCAACATCATGCCCCTCTGTATTCCATGTTCAAATTCTCCATCCTACCGCCGGGTGCTGGACAACCTCGGGAAGGGCTGTAGACCAACCATGCAGCCCAAGACTTTGTCATCTTCAGAATGATGAGCTAAAATTGCGCAGGGATTTATGCTTTAAAAACCACCTTTACTTACATGATCTTATTTGATCCTATGACTGTACTTTAAGCCAACAAATATTATTTCCATTATCAATTTGGGAGGATTCATGGGCCATGTCCAAGTTTATACTAAAAGTGTTGGAGCTGAAAGGCAAAACCATCTTTTGACCATTTACTTATTGTTCTTTCCACAATAATATATCTGTCCTTATTCTAGAACAGTGTCTTTTCAATCCTGGACTCACATTAAAAGCTTTTAAAGAATAGTGGTGCTCAGTTCCTATCTCACATCAATTAAATCAGAATCTTTGGGGTGGAGCCAATATACATCTGCATTAAAAAAGAAATTTCGAGAGTGATTCTAATGCGCACCCAGAAGTGAGAAATCACTGCTCTGGAAGAAGTGTTGAAAACTGCTGGAGGAATTTTTTTTTTTTTTTGTCAAAAGGGAGATTTCTGTTTACTCAAGGCTAGATATTGCCATAGTACTTGGTTCTTTGTATGTGTGACTTCTAGCACCTAGCTCAATGCCTGGCAGAGTGGGGCAAAGGAACCAAAATTATAGAGCCCCTGTGGGTCAGGTGCTCTGTTGGTCATTTAACTGGCCTACACCTCAGTGACATTGGTATCATTATCTCATTTTATAGGTGAAGGCACTAAAATATCCCAAAATTAAATAATTCATTCAAAATCATGCCACTTGTAAGTATCGGGGCTGAGATTTGAAATGACATCTGCTAGTCTCAAAGCCCACGTGTGTTCGATCGTGCTGGTGGTTCTAAACCCTGGCTGAGGGTCTGAACACCTGGACTGAAGTAAGGACAAAACATTGGTATGTTTTAAAAGCCTTCTAGGCGATCCTAATGTGTAGTCAAGGCTGAGAGTCACTGCCACACACCATTCTGCCTTCCCAATATGCTTAGAATACATTTGTTGAACTTGAAAGGTACTGGGGAAGGGCTTCCTTAGGCATGTAGATAAATACGCGTACACATATGCACACGCACACATCAACCTATGCACATCTTCCCCCATCCCTCCGCCCCAAATTAGGAGGGATAAAGATGTTCTGTCCAGAGGGAACACTTTTTCAACTAGAAAATACATTCATTTAAATTCACATGTCAAGCCTTTCTTGAGAATGTGTGCCTGAGGGCTGGGGCATCTCAAAGGTGGCTGGGCAGAGGGACGAGGCACAGAGGAGTTAGGGAAGGTGTAGAAATTTGAGCTGGGGAGTCACAAATACAAGCTTAGACATCTTTACCATTTTACCTGAAGTCAGTTACACTAGGAAGCATCCAAGTCTTGCTTGGCAAGTGGATGTGACCATTTGAACCAGGCTGTAAAGGGAATTGCCTTGTAACTGGGAGATCATTAAGGGGTTTAGAAAATATCTTATTAAATCTCTTGATCCTGGCAAGATCTCTAGGGGAGTGGATTTGTATTTTGAGGAAAATATAGCAGATTACCCCCTTGCATTGGGTCCTGGCTCCGCTAATCTTCAGTAGGCCCCGCGTGCACGTGTATTATTGCCTGGGGTTCATGGAGGAGGAAGATGCATTTCAGTCTCAGGTACAGTGATTTTTAAGCACTGCCACTATTCCAAAAGCCATATCTAAGTCACCATTGTTATTCAAGATTCTAATTAAACGAGAGAGAGAGAGAGAGAGAGAGAGAGAGAGAGAGAGAGAGAGAGA